GGCTGCGAATCACGCCCAGGGCCTGCATTCTTTGGAAAGGCCCGGTAGGCCGTGGAAATGTCTTCGGTGCTCGGCCTGTGTTTCTTTCAACCAACTGGCGCGTCGCAACTGCCTGGACCCCAAATATGAAATTGACAGTCGAGGGCCTCTTGCAAAAAGCCAGGCCCGCCTTCACTTAGGGCAGGCACCTCCGCCTTCACTTAGGGCGGGTAAGGCTGCAGACAGGGCCCAGTAGGCCTACCGAGGACACTGATCCTCGCACTTGCTCATCGGCCCACAAAACCAAAAAGTCATTTACCAAAAACAAACAAGTATAACACCATTGGCATTCCCAACATTCATCTCAAACTACACACTCACGTCACTGCCAAAGAGGAGGAAGAAGATAAGAGACAACTACCTAAGACATGAGACCCCTCCAGCAAGAACACACCGACCCCCCCTGTCAAGGGTCCGAAAAAACTGGGAAAGCCTTCCACATCGGCCCACCATTCCCCCCAAACAGAATTTGCGTCGACCCGTAAACATCTAAACAGCCCATGCTCTAAAGCAGGGCAAAGAATTAGGCCGTGTATAATCAACAAGTGTGTGTGTGTGTGTGTGTGTGTGTGTGTGTGTGTGTGTTGATGACAAATTGCAATGCAATTGAACAACCTGAGTATGCCAGGAACAGCACCTATGCGTTACCACGTGTTATAGCATAATAAACATCCATCATAGTGTCGAATGGGTCACCTGTATACACTCTAGCTTTTGGCAAAGAAAACTCTCATTTCCCATTGCATTCTCCTCAGTAGCGTGACATTCCTCGAGCTCATTCAGTCAGGGGAGAGTGGAAGCATGTGAGAGGGAGAGGGCGAGGTCGTGCAGGGGAAGATAGGATGGTAGGGTGGGAATAAGGAGGGGAGATGGATGAGAAGAGAAGGCAAGATCAAGAGAGTACCTTCTTCGCTAGGACCAATTTCCTAGTCAAAGAAGGAGGGTGGCGCATCCCTGAAGCGCTTTTCATCGTTTGCGCCAAACGGCTCATCAGAGGGTTTTGGGATGGAGGTAAGCTACAGCTATGGGTGGCCTTCTACATCAGCTGGACCAATTACCAACGGAGTAGGGGCGCCTCTTATAGTACCTTGGGAGAAAGGAGAGGATGGTGTGTATGTGGGGGTGAGGGGAGATGGGGATGTGGTATAGTTTATGAGCGGCCTTCTAGCTCAGCTGGACCTATTACCAGGTGAGTAGAGGCGGATCACGTCGCCTTTCGGCAGGAAGCCATGGATGGTGTGCGTAGAGGGGGGTTGGTGGGTGAGCTTGAGGGCTGGGGGTTCTGGCGGGGGGGCGAGGTATGTAGGGATCAGGGGAAGATATTAGGACGTAGGGGTATGCTGGGGTTCGGGGTTGCGTGGGGGGTTGAAGGTAGGTGAAAAGTTGTTACCGCATGTGTGTTTATCTCTGCCTCTGTGATCTGCTCGTTCGATGCTGACGCCATAGCCGACGCTTTTGGCAAGCGCTGTAGCTCCTAAACCGTGCAGTCGTAATTGAACTGCGAGCACGGGCCGTGGTGTCAAGCCTAGGCTGTGCCCTGGTTACGTGGTATGCTCAGGGGTTGCCTGGCTCGCAAGTATGAAGGCGTGTACAGGAAGGAGGGAGTTGTGTGATGGGCAGAGGAGTGGCGCAGTTTGCATTTTGAGTGAGGGTGTTCTTTGCGTTCTCTCGTGTATAAACGCTGGGAGTTTCGCGTTGCGATGGCGTGCTTCTTGTGGTTGGGGGCATCATCATTCCTTTGTTGATCCTTCTTCGTTTTTGTTAGTGGTGTATATTTGGGGGAGGAGCAAATTCTTTTAGGGGGAGCGTGTATTTTGATTGTTGGGTGGGTGGTATCATAGGTGTTATTTTCTGTGTAAGTGGGTATGACGTTGGGTAGATGCTTCGGTAGGGCAGGTGTTCGTTTTCTGGCTTATTTTTTAATATTTTCATTCTATTTATTTGTTTGTTTTTTATATTTATTTTATATTCTGTTTGTGACGATATATATTTTTTATTTTATGTATATATTATTTATTATGTTTTTTTGTGAAACGGTTTTCACCTTTTCGCAGTAGGCGATGCAGTACTCAGGGTTCGACCCCTAGACCTCACCCTACCCATGTACAGTACCTGTGTAGACCCCGAGAGTTGAACCTGTGACCTGTGTATTCGTAAACAGTTGCTAGGCTGTTCTAGGTCCAAGGGTAGCAGGGGTTCGATCCGTAGGTCTGTAGAGTAGAAGTCTTAGTGAGTTCCAGAAGTCTAGCTGTAGTCCTTCTAGAAGCTCAGCAAGTGGGCAAGCGGGCAAGTGGTGAGCCAAGTGGTGGACTAAACTGCAGTGCAATTGCAGTAAGACTCCGGTAGGATAGCAGTGAGTCCACAGTCAGTCAGCGGTAAGGTCCAGTCAGTCCCAGTCCGGTCCAGCAAGTACCACGAGGGACCGTGAGCACCATGGGCCGATGGCAAASGGCAGACCAACGAGTTTCAGAAGTATAAATCAAGAGGCAGCGCCCARCCATTCATTCATTCCTGCGGGAGCCATGCGGAAGCGCTGCCACAGCGACTTGTGCAAGGAGTTCTGCAGAGAGCCCGGAGCTGAAGTGGGCAAGAGAGAAGGAGTGTAGCATAGCGATAGGGTAGAGGCAGCCATAGCTTCCATAGCTGTAGTTCAGTGTGTGTGTGTATGTGTGACTGTTCAGAGTGATGCGTGTGGGATATCCAGGGTGATCCGGTGTATGTGAACAGTGAGTTGTTTGGGCGCTGAGTCGCCATAGCCAGTTGAAAGTGAACTCGTATCTGGA